AAGCAGAGTCCTTATATGGATCCAGGCAGTCTCCCTCAATGATTCATTATCATACAGGTTCAGAAGTGGATGCCTGAGGTCTTTGCTTTGATCTGGTGGCTGCACTAACCAGACCAAAAAAAAATGCATTAAAATTGCCCCCCAACCACCCTGTCAGAGAATTCACTCTAGCCGATTTAGAATTTTCAATATGAAACTTGGGGGGCGGGGGGGGGGGGGGGGGACGTTTTAATGAATATTATAACAATTATTTACAGGCAGCAATTAAAATCTGAGCTGAAAAAGGGATTAAGATGACTTTGCCGCTTGTACCATGTAATGAAGCCGTCACTCAGTCTCTCTTTTCCTATTTTTCCCAGCACATAATATGAGGAAAGAGGAATGAAAATGAGAGAAAAGAGCCTCAGGCAGTGGCCTCTCAAATAGGCTATAGGCCTTTTTGCACCATCTAATAAGAACAGACAGACAAACATAATTGTTATCCCCATCTAATCTTCCTCCTCTGATTTACATGGCTACCTAAAAGATTTCACAGAGCATTCACATTAGCTGTGGCTAAGGGACACAAACAATAATGCAGCACATCAACCAGGCAAAGAACCGAGCGGGTAAAGAAACTTTTCACAGCACGGTGAACTCCCCAGAAACGGAAACAGGCACTTGTTTCACACACCTTAGCAAGATCTCGCCGTTGCCCATATTTTGTTTGATATTAACTGGTGGCCTATAAAAAGCTCTGGCTCTGACACATGAGGAAGCAATAAAAAAACAAAACCCTGTGCATACAGTACATCCCTTAGCAACAGACCACCGACAATCATCACAGGCCTAGTTACACTGGCTTAACCATGCTGCCGGTTCCGAGAAACAAAACGCCTCAAAGATAAAACACCACTTCTGCATCTGGTGATGCTTTCTCCTTGCTTTACAGGGTCTGCAATTGCTTCAGGGACTCAAGGCTTTTGTTGTATTCCACAGAACACCTGTAAATCATATTTAATTTATAAGGCTACTTTAGAAACCATATTAATTCAACAATCTGGAATCACTGAAGGGTATGCATGGAGGTGGGAATTAAAGAATGCCTAGGATGGTACATGGAGAAAAGTAAGCTCTAACTACAGATTCAAACATATAATGTATTTCTCCGTTACGAGTCACATCTTAAAAAGCAGACCATAAAACACGATTTGCTGTTAAAAAGTTTTAAATCTATGTGTGACAAAATGCTGTCTGCTCCTCTTCAATCCAAGTTTATCATGGAGGACAGTCATGACTTGGGTTTTACGAAATATCACTGAAGCCATGACAGTTTAATTTTATCAATTTCCCTTCGGGATCAATAAAGTCTTATCTATCTATCTAATCTGGATTTTAAAAGACTGGACTATTGTATAATTGTACTTCACTCCCTTTTGTCACAGGACTTCATCCTAGTCTTACACTCATGACCAGGCCAGAGTAGCTGCCGTTAGTTTTGATGACCATGACAAAAGAATGTAGCTAGATGTACAATAAAAGATCCATCTAACTGTGAATAAATTGAACAAATGGAATAATGGTGTTCTCTATTCACTTCAGAGCACAATGCACCAACACATGACTGTCCCATACAAAAGAGTATTTACTGTATATACAAAGCACGCTGAAGATATGGAGCAAAAGAGATAGAAGAAAGAATATGTACATGAAACCATACTTCCATGTAAAAATAAACCCCAGATAACAGATGCCAATGGGAGGGAGTGGTGAATAAAGTGATGTCTTTACCACGGAAAAGCCTTTAAGAATCCATCTACCACACGTGTACCAGATGTGCACATGGAGTGTGAGGATAAACAGACGTAAAAAATAAATAAAACCAGTTTCTCACCTTTCCAAATTCTCTCTCACTCTCATTTGTGTAGGAGTACAGGACTAACTTGGGTAGGCAGCTACAGTAGGTGGCGCCATGTTTTCACATGCCTAAACAACGGAGCTCTAGCCACATTGCTCAAGAGTGCTACGTCCCAGACAAGATTCGAGCAATGGAACAAAAGAGGCCTGTGTTCCCTACCCATAATCGGGAACGGGCCATTTGAACTCGTGTTGAACTGTGTGGTTCGATTGCACAGAAATAAGCTATAAATAGCTGCTGCAGCGTTAATGTTATTCTTGTGTCTGATATTAGATAACACTAGGATGCATGACTGGATTATAAGTAATCTGCCTTTTCTTGGACAAGTCAGGAAGTTGTCTGTGGTCCAGGAAAAAACTCTTCTATGAGTGCTTCTACCAGTCCAGTGCCCCAGTACTGCAACAAGGGTCACTGTACTGTAGGAGGTGCTGTCCTTCGGATGAGACATTAAACCGAGCTACTTGGTCATGAACTATCCCCCGGCACCGTTCCTAAGAGTAGGAGTGTTGAGCTCGATGTCCTGGCTCAATCCCACTCTGGGTTCATTCAGTCTGGCCCCACTAAAGCTGCCAATTGACGAAGCAATGTCTTACTTCACTAATCTGATCCAAAAAGAATGTAGGACGCAAGCACAGAATGGCCCCTGCACATCACCTAGGATTATTATATCACCCTGCCCCTAGCTGATGGGAAACTCTAAGCTATTCTCAAAATCGACATTTTAAGAGCATGTCTGCTGAAAGATTCTCTTGACCCTACAGAGGCACAGGGTTATAGCTAGTTAGAACACTAACTGTGTCAAGAAGCTGTTGAATGATGGGATTTGCTTCATATTTGTGGAATTATTTTGTTTTATGCTTTTAATTTTAAATGTTTAGCCCACTGTTTGTGAAGACTTTTCAAACAATATCTAAAAGAAAATCACAAAAATGCTATTTTGCAACAGTTAGCATTCCAGTGCAAAAGAAATATATCATATTAAGACCTAAGGCTCTCTGAAAATCTACAGTTTGAGGGTTAAACGGTGAAATTACGTACACACAATTTGCAATCAAAATCATTCATTAAAATACGCCAATATTAATAATGAACTCAGTCACATAGCTATTTATCACTGCACGTTTTAATTAACTGTCAAACAAGACTGAATCTCCCTTTGATGATAGACACCATACACAGTTTATAACTACAGCATGTCTACTTAAATCATCATGCAGATAAGGTGAAGCACTACAAGAATGTGTTGAGAATATAAAACAATGGTGCCTCATCCATTTGTAATGCTGCAAAGCACTTTCATATTCTGGGCTCAATTCTACGGGTTTCGGCACTGACATAAGGAAACCAGTTGTCCTGGTGATAACGTCCGGGGAAGTCACCTCACTGAGGATAATGTTGTCACCCAGAATTTAGCACAACCTGCAGACTCTCAGTCTGAGGAGCCGGTGTCACTCTAGGTAGAATACAACCGAAGGGTAAAGACAAAGGCCAGGACAAAAAACGACAGCACAGCAGTCAGGGTAAATTTCTTAAAATTCACAGAATCGACAGGTGTGGGAATTCTTCTGTACTTTTATTACAAGATGCTTAGATTTGAAAATCTGTTTGTAAAGTAAACTGCACATCTTTCGATCAGTCTTTCGTTTCGATTCAACGCTGTAAATCCCAGTAAATTTCTGTTTGGAGAGTATGCTGAGTAGGATCTTTTTTACATTTATAAGAATAAAGCTCCCCTTTTATTCTATTTGGTATTTGGAACTCATTTGCAGAGTTATGAACTGCTTCCCGTTAGGTAAAAGGCTGAGGCCAGGCATTGACAGTCTTGATCATATTTTTCTGCACCTGTCTGCATGCTCTCAAAATGACGTTATTACACACATAATGGGTTTGACTTGGTCCCACTCTTGGGGATGATGTTGGGGGGCGGGGGGATACAGACTGGGGACAAGGAGGTAATTAAAAACTACCAGAGATGTCCATTTGTGCTTTCCAAATTCCAAGCTCTTGCACAATCCAAAAAACAAACTAGCAGGGGTATTTTTAAAGCACTTAACTATAGTGCAAAGACCTAAAAGCACCATCATTCACTAGGGTAATTAAATACTAAAGCCAGTTGATATGGTGGTAATATATGTGTTGTATGACGCAGAAGACATCTTCTGCCAACTCCCGATACCAGTTCTTGCTCCAATGAGCTACAGCGCACCAACAGAACAGCAGTTCTGCACAGAGGGACAGTCACTCACTCTTGCTCTTAGTTTGAATAAATGGACAACAAAAGCACTCAAAGACCACTTTTACTACTTATCAGTCTTAAAGCAAGTCATTACAGATAACTTAAGATAGATGGCGCGGAAATATACTTTTGCAGTGCTACACATATTTTTGGACTTGCCGAAATATATACTCACACCCCGTCTAAATTACATTAAACGGAATTTAATAAGAAAAAAGGAAATGTCAAATACTATGATACTGCACCATGCATCACACAAAGAACCAAAATGAGATTTGGCAATATTGCACCAAAATGTCCTGGCAGTCATGTATAAATGTTACATCTGGGCACAAACTGTAGAAATTAACAAAAAACAAACATCAAAAGGAAGCCCCGAGCCAAATGTTGAACCACAAGCAAACGTTTTGTGTATGAAAGCAAAAACGGAGGGAAATGAGAAGAAAATTAAATTAAATCCAGAGACAGTGCGGAGCATCTGGACTTCGTCTTCATGATGATGCCAGACCCAACTGAGTGGCCTATCAATTTATCAATTTTAATTCAAATGGCATACAATAAACATTTACAGTTGTACTCACTTTATCCATCAGTTGCTGACGAACATTACACGAGTTGTTACTTCAGAGTAAGAGGGAGAGTGAAGTCCTTGAGGGACAATGTTTTCTCCCACTTTCTGAACTTTTTTTTACTGAGCTGGGCAAAACACGTGGCTTTAAACTGAAAGCAATGTAAAAGAATCTCTGAAACCAGGAAGCTGGTCAACACATTAAAGCCAATAGCCTAACTACAAGAAAGGATCTCCACGTCCAATACATAAAGCAGGGGTTTATACAGGACTGGGTTAGGGATTGTCTGTGATCCTACCTCATGCCCTCTGTGGACTTGTTTTGGTAATTGCGGTAGAGTTGAGGGGTCCCCAGCATGGCCTCGGTGAACACAGCCAGGAAGCCCAGCGCTTCCACAAAGAGAATAGAGTCCAGGAAGAGGTAGGTTATGTATGCAGCTACAGCAGTGAATGCCAGCACGCACTGCAGATAGTCTACAAACCCGCTCCACAGCCAGAAGTACTTCCAATCAAAATCTGAAACAAAAGGGAAAAAGATGTGTGAAACACCACCCAGCACTTCCAAGTTATTAATCTAGCTTGCCTAATGAAGTTAGTTTAGCCAAGCATGTCTGAACTATGAAATGACATCCAAAAGGGAGGACTGCTGACTTCAGACTGTTTTGCAGACTCCTCACATGTGTTAAAAGCGATTTCATGGCTGAGTTTACACACATTTTGAGAGGAGCTACAGCAAACATGAACATTATCGCTTTCAAAACTCGATAATCACAATTAAACACCCAGCTACAGAAACATCAATTCCATCAAAATGAAGTGCAAGTGAAATCGGACATTTTTCCAAATGTTCTCCGACACGGTCGAACGTCCAACAGCATCCATGTGCACCACTTACCGTAATGAAAATCAAGACTTTGGATCAAATATTCTGCTTCCCTTACCAAATAAATACACAGAGGAGATAACACATACACATACACATACACATACAACACAGATCTCCAGGTCACAGAGATGCATTTGGATTCCAGCCATTTCCATCGTTTTTTCAGTCCTTGCTGAGTAAGTCATTACGCCATATCTCCTGGCAGGGCAGAGGTACAGAGCAACATGAATAAGGATGAGGAAAGGCAGAACATATTAACCAGTTAATAAATCCACCAAAGGTACTATATTCCTTTATTTTACCGGCTGAAAACCCTGATGCAGCAGGTCCATAACTAGACCAACTATGGTAACTTGTTCGGGGCTACAACAGGAGTGTTCCATCAGGGATTTGATCCCAGTATACTCCAGAGTCCAAAATCCCAATCACTGCAAGTCATAATAAATCCCAACAACGGGAATCCAACAGTTCTACATTTTGACACCCCCAAACTAGCAGACTCAAATGGTCCGAATCACACTTCACACCTCTGCGACCTGCTGTTGTGCTTAACGTTGCTTTGCCTTCCCAGGACACCTGTTCCCAGGGGATGTCTATGAAAACTCGGCAGGCACTAGAAGAAGGCCATCCTGACCCTGACCCTAACGCAGGCTCACCCGAAGACCTTTCAAACTGCTGCATGTGACCAGGGAGCAATCCTATCAAAGGTAAGGGTATTTGAAGGTTTCAAAAACTTTCGCTTAGCCTAATGAAAGATCATTAGGACTCTTTAAAAACTCACAGGCTGTTTTACAGATATCCACATAGCTGCAAACCAAAATAAACAGAAGAACAGTTTGACCAGAAACTAGGACGTAACACTGTTTCTGCATGGGATTGCGGCAATCCTTACTTCTTATGTAATGTAGGTCGGTCAAAATACTTTGTGTTGTTTAGATGATAACCCGCTAATGGGAAAAAATGGAAATAGGTCCAGTAATGGATTTGGGGATTACATTCAAAGCCATGCTATCAATTACACTGCAGATAAAATGATTTCCCACAGAAGAAGAAAAAAACAATCTGATGCAACTTAAGGCTAAATGAAGCATATTTAGAGGATTTTGCAAACATTCACAATCGCTTTGAAATGCTGCACTGGTCACCTTGGCACTCGGTTAGCCTTCTGTTTAATTTCCTGGTCTTTAGCACCTAAATCTTCAAGTAAGGAAACTTTACTTGGTTCGGAAAATTAGGTAGGGTGATCAAGTACTGTTATTCCTTTAACAACCTGGGACCAGCTCCTGGGCATTTTCGCTCTGACGATTCAGGGTGCACATCTCCATGACTCTACAATCATGGAGGCCATGAGGCCAATCGTGGCCACCTAATAATCCCCCTCTATGAATTGGCTTCATCACTCTGTTCTCCTCTCCACCGATAGCTGGTGTGTGGTCTGTGTTTTGGAACACTATGGCTGCCGTCACATCATCCAGGTGGGAGCTGCACATTGGTGGTGGTGGAGGGGAGTCCCCATTACCTGTAAAGCGCTTTGAGTGGAGTCTCCAGAAAAGCGCTATATAAGTGTAAGCACTTCTTAATAATTCATTATAATGTCCACATGCAGGCAGCTGCGCTGAGGCTGAGGGTTCAAATCCCAGGTGGAGCAGTGCTACTGTTATCTCCGCTCCACCCTGGTCTCTCTACACTGGCTTTCAGTCACAGCCAGCGTCAGATCCATGGGCTCCAGGTGGACTGCACGAGCACACTGTCAGCACCCAGAATCTAACACATGAATAAATGGACATGCAAATGCTGTGGTGCCCTTAAACAGAACATTTCCAAATGCCCATATAAATGGGTACAAATGTCACCTTGCTCTGGATAAAAGCATTGGCTAATTAACCCTTACAGGGTCGAGTGCTACATTGGCACTTAATGGTGGATTTCCATTCACAACCCCTGTATGATGTCACAGGTGGCAAGACACAACCCAGAGGCTTTGGTGACTGAGGTGATGTTAAGAATTCTTCACCCACTCAGTATATCGTTGTGGTATAGGATGTTCAGTGAAATAACTCCTTGCTCATTCATGGATAGTTCCTTTTGGGGCAGTATACAATATAAATATCAAAGAAAAACGTCTGCTTAATCAAACCTCTTTTCCTTTTTCTTCCCTTGCAGATACCGTTCAGCCCAATAATAGCAAGGAGCTTTGGAAAAATTTGAAGCGTCTACGCACAAGCCTTTTCATGTAACCCGAAGTGACAGCGGTTTCAGACCGCCACGCATTCTCCCCAGGGCGTGCGCCGTTATCTGCGCGCGCTGGTGTACTGGATTTGAAAGAGCTGTGAGACACCGATCCAGCCACAGCATGCAAGCTGTGTAGAAATGTACTGACTTTTAAATCCAAGCCCATTTCCTCTGTGGCTTTCGTTAGTAAAATTCAATATAAATAATACATTATTTTTGCACAGAATGATTTAACAGGTGTAGGCAGTAATTTTTATTTTTTAAAGGCTTTTTTTCCCCTCGCTCTTTTCTTGCTGCCTCCACTTCCCGTTATTTACTTCAATCAAGATCGGCACCAGTGCTCATTTGAGATGTTTTGCAAGCTGAACGCTCTGATTTGCACTGTTAGAAGCAGCACTCCTCTCGACTGCCGATCTAAAGGGTCTGACTTGGGGGAGACGGGGTACCCAGCCGGAGCAGGGCTAAACATATCCTGCCATACCTGTGACATTTCCCACCGCTGCCACACAGCACCCAAAAGATTTCAATCTTTACACACAACTATAGAAAATATAAAAACAGACTCAAAGAATGTAGTGGTGAATATCGGATTTCCACAACCTCATTTGTTAATGTATTTGAAGATTCGAATACAAGAACTCTTTTACCCTCTCAGGAGACAAGGTGGCTCCTCTGTCATGCCCACCTGTACAGCCATTCTCTGCAGCACCCATTAGCTGAAGGAGTGCCGGAGCTCTCCCTGTTGTCACTATGAGCCACCACAGCGCCATGAGCAGAGAGGAGGCCCACCAGGTAGTTCCAACCCTATCTCCCTGGGAATCAGCCACCGCTTGGAAAATCCCAGCCTTCCCAGAAGGTGACGCGAGCCAGACTTGAACTGCGGACTCCAGGTACCCAGCCAGTGTTCCCAACAAACCAGGCTTGGAGATGGATGCTCCTGTTCCATGAAATGTGCGTAATACAAAGTCAAATCTTTGTACAGAGGTTAAGGACAGAAAACGGTTTTGACTGTCGATCCTACAAGCAACAGGGAAGGGATTTTGCCTTGCAAAATCAACAGGATGGCAGTATGTTCATGATATTAGTTTCTCTGAAAGCTCAAAAATGTTCTTTTATTTACCGTTACAGTGTGCACAAAAACGTCAAGAGTTTGTTCATATATTGCGACTGAAATGACAAAAAGCAACATCTACCTTCTCTACCAGTTTAACCTTTTCTTTCTATAAGAACAACATATGTCTGCCATTATGCTTAAGAAACAATATAATTTGCAACATCTGTAAAATGTTTTCAAATGAAGAGACCAGTAACATTCAAGAAAAAAAAAACTAAACACTTCCCCAAGTCTCTTTGCAGGTGTGGTATCCAGAGCTTTAGAATAATCAGAAGAAAATAAACTGTTCAGAGAAAGCTAAATAATTAGTATGCAGACATCCTAAGGTGATTTATCAACCTTCACAAACATCCTCACCAGCTGCACTGCTTTCCTAGCAAAAGGAGGACATACTGGGCTGCCATCGAATCTGGACAGCTCCTGCATCAACTGTAATACAGCGTACTTAAAAAAAATTACATTTCCCCTGCTTGAAGACGGGGAGACTGAATCTTGGGATGCAATTCACTCAATCTCCTTTATTGTACAGACTTTCCAGGGTTTGAATGGTACTGTACACAGACAAAGCAACATACCACTGGAATCATTTTCCATCACAGAAAACGACCATCCCTGCAGTCCTTGAGATCCACTTAAACAAGCAAGGGAGGTCAGACAAGTCTTGAACGATCTGCACTCAGTGCGGAACGGATGATGGCCTTGGTTCTCTCTGCGTGTGGCGACAGTGTCCACTGCAGTAAGAAGAAATGCCACTCAACTCCCCGAACTCAGGGGGCAACTTGGCCAGGAGAGAGTTGCAAGACGCCACAAGACTGATTCATCCCAATTTATAATTTTGCACAAAAAAAAAAAAGATAAAATCCCCCATTAGGCCAGAGCCCTGACCCACTGCTGGATAAGACCTAAGCCACTATCGATGCATTGCCCTTTCATTTCATTAACCGTTTCCACAATTGCACTGTGAAAGTCTCATATTCACCACAAGTTTCCACGACAGTGTACTGATAATAAACTAGTCATTAAGGAGACGCTTATATTCGAAACAAGGTGAAGAGGCCAGGGATTGAGGTAACAACAAAAGCTTGGTTTTCCTCCTCATCCGAAGGACATTTCGGTGTAGTAGCTTCCTAAAAAAAAATAGCAAGTTAATATCAAAACACAAGACTTGAACCAAAAACCTCCTAATGTACTTCAGTATCCAGTGGACATCCTCTCCTCTAGATGGAAGGAAAGGCTTAATAACATCTGAAATCTTCCATCAAGACACGATTAGACAAACATTTA